TGCCATGGGCTGCGCGAGGGACCGCGCGGTCCCGCTTCGGGGAGCCTGTGCCGCTGCATCGTGGCGGCGGCTGGTGGGAAGGGGATGGGTTGGAAAAACGGGAGCCTGCTGCTTCCGAATGCATCTTTATCCAGGGAAACGGCTGTGTGGAAGCGGGCTGCGGCGAAGGCGTGTTTTCTGCTTGGGTGGCCTTCCTGTGCAAAGCGTGTCTCCTAAAGCTGGCCTGGCCCCTCGGAGCGAGCCCTTTGGTTCCTGCACGAGGTGGCGTGGGCAGGATTCTGCCTGAAGAAGGCAGCGGGTTTTGAAGGAAATCTGTCAATTTGTTTCGAGTGAGAAGATGTGTTTTTCAGCTCCTGAGTGCTGCCGAGCTGTTTTCCAAGCCGTGCTCCGTTCTGCCGGCGTTGTGTATTTTAAGCATAGTGTTGGATTGGATCTAAGTAAATAAGTGTTTTCCAAAGTAGCTATCAGCTTTGTTTCTAAATAGCCAGTATCGGCTTCTGGTTTGCTCAGACTGAGGAATATTTTGGGAAGAAATTTTCTGCTGAAATAGCAGTTACAACCGTAGGAAACCTGTTTCCCATGCATGACTGACCGAGTGATGCAGTGGAATGGTGATGTGAGCAGAAGGGGGATGTATGCCTGTGAAAGATCCTCCGTAATGCCGCCGAGCAAGTAACATTATCCTCCGCAGCGCGTTCCACCTGCGTCTGGGGGTGAACAACGTGTAGCTCTTTTGCTCTTGGGTAGGTCTCCTGTGGTATTGCAGGTACCTGCGTGGTGGAAGACGGGGAGTTTTACTGTTTGGCTAGTAAAAACATGTATGGAAGAGCTGTTCTTTTTCCTGCCTTGCTGCTGAGCCTATCCCATATAAAATGGGCATGCATTGGGAAGCTGTCATTTTCCTCTCTCCTTGAACATGCGTCCTGCAGCTGCAGAGTGCGTTGTTTGAGGGCAAAGATGTCCCGTTGTAGTTATGTACCCAGGGAGTCCAACTTTAGGTTGCTGTAGAAACCCCAGTGGAAGTTCCTGGCTTGAGTTACTCTTCTCATTTAGCATTGCCCACTCTGGTTTCGGTGACACTTGGTCAGGAAAGCTGAGGTTTAGATGTGTTGCTCTGCATTCCTCCTGGGGAGGTGGGACCCTTGGACATCTCTTCCAGCACGTGGGATATATGTTGGGTGTTTACATGCACCTGCAGCCATGACTTGATGTTATCCTTTTCCTTCTGGTGCAGAGATGACTGAAGAGGAACAGTTTGCACTGGCCCTGAAAATGAGTGAGCAAGAAGCCAGAGAAGTGAACTGTCAGGAAGAGGAAGAGGAGGAGCTCTTGAGGAAGGCCATTGCTGAGAGCCTCAATGTAAGTGCGCTTCTGTGAAGAGGCTTACTAGGGTCCTTCAGCAGCACTGCTTTCTGTGCCTGCTTCGCCACCCTGCACGTAAGGAGGTTTTAGTGGGGGACGAGCTGTTTGCAGTGGGAGCTGCAACTACAGCAGCGCCAGAGCAGTTGTTTTGTGCTGTTCCTGGTGGGAGGCGTGGGAAGGCTAGCCTCAACTGTCCCCTTTTTTGGGGGTACAGCGTTGTAATCTGGGGTGAGCTCTGCAGTCTGGGCGATGGCTCCCTGGGGGAGCTCCTTGTGTGCTTGGCTGATGGAGAATGTGCCTCCCGGAGAATCAACCTTTTGTTTTTCAGAGCTGTCAGCCCTCGGACTCCTCTGACGCAACCCCTCAGCTGTCTGTCGAAGCACTGGGCGTGCAAGGCGAAAGCCAGCCTGCCGAGAAAGAAGGCTCTGAGATCCTGGGAGGTCTGGCACTTTGCCCTGACACCCCTCTCTCCAAGTGCAGCTCCCACTCACAGAGCTCTAGAGCTGATGGGAACGGACAGATGGATGTCGCCCGCAGCCCCCTGGTAGTGTTGAGGAGGTTAAGCCAGGAAATCGTTGAAAGCTCACTAGTATCCAGCATAATTGTGTCTCCAGGGAAGGGCCAGCCTCTGACAAGGTCAAGTGAAAAGCCTTCCTCACCATCAGAAAGTGATTCCAGTAATGGGTCACCCGGCACGCTTGCAGAGGACCTCGTCTCCTTGAGTCCCACCTTTGGCAGGGTGACTTCAGGCACCTGGCGACTGACACCTCGGAGACTGTTCACAAACCCCTCCGGCCCTTCTGAAGCAACAGGCCACAAACCAAAAGAGCAGCCCCTGCCCTGCACTGCCCATTCTGTGGGAGACACTGGTGCTGGGAGCTCAGCCATGCTCCGCAAGAGCTGGACCGCAGAACGGTGTGGTAGCCCCAGGATAAGTGGCGGAGGAGCAGGTACCAAACACACCTCACCCAGGCACGCCGATGAAATGTGCGTGTCCACGGAGCAAGCGGAGCAGAACGAGGTGCCCGACGGTACCCCTGAGCTTTGCGTGCCGAGTGAGGCGGAGGAGAATCACAAGCAAGAGGAGGTGAGAGACACAGTGCACTATTACTGGGGCATCCCCTTCTGCCCCAAAGGGGTGGACCCCAACCAGTACACCAAAGTCATCTTGTGTCAGCTGGAGGTTTACCAGAAGAGCCTGAAGCAGGCTCAGAGGCAGCTATTGCATAAGAAGGAATTTGGTAACCCAGTTGTGCCCAGTTCTTCCTTGAGCCAAAATGAGCTTGGGAAGGGAGACCAGATAAGCAGGGAGAACGGGGTTGCTGATGATACAGAAGATGGAGATCCAGAGGCGCAGAAAGATCCTGAGAGCATCACCTGGCTCCTTCCTTCGAAGAGGAGGGAGGCAGAGAGTCCAGGGCACAGCGTGGAAGAAGAGAAGAACTCCACTTCCGATGATGAACCGACCACCAGCTACTGCCAGGTAAGAGCTTCACCACTGAGCAGAGGTTGAGCGCTCCTGCTATTAGGTCCATGTTAGGGTTCAGACCCTTCTGTGAAGCAGGCACTGGTGTTTAATGCTCCTCTTAGATGTAGGGACTTCCTCCCCCAGCCACCCAGCTTGCTGTGAAAGGGAGAGGAAAAGCTGTACGGGCTGGTTCCCAGCCGTCACACAGCCTGGCAGTCATCCATTAATGCACCACGGAGATCGACTCCAGCGGACTTGACCTTCCTGAAGGGATGTAGCCCAGCAGTGCGTCAGGGTGGCGAGCACAGAGGTGATGCTGACCACCACCAGCCATGGCAAACCAGCTTAGAAACCCGTGGCTGAGCGGGGACCTCTGTTTCCCTCGCGGGCAGAACCACGACTTCTGTCCTTGCAGCGCAGCCGCTCCTTTTCGTCCCCGTCCGTCTGCTCTTCACCCTTGGAATTGGTCCTTTTCCCTCGTGATCCTGCGGTTGTGGCTGGGAGAGGCCCTGCGTGTTGGCCTCCTGCTCGCCCGGGGTGATTGTCATGGCGGGGTGCTCGTGTCCTTGTTGCGGGCACCCTCGCTCCGGCTCCCGCTCGGGTCTGCTAGACGCTAGGTGTCAGCCTCTGTCTCCATCAGGGCTCTCTCGCTGGAGCGGAAGGCAGCTTTCTGTCACTGCTAAGTTTAAACAGATTGCTAGTCAGATGAAGTATTTATTACTGCTGTATTTTAGGTTTGTGTCAGCCTTTTCCAACCCTCATTTTTCATAATGACTTCACTCCCGGATCATTGTATAACTTTATCTTCTCTATGACTGAAGCCTCGGCTCTGTTGTTCCTGTTTTCAAGTGTATTTGATCATTTACCCTGGTGTTAGAAAGATACTTAACTTGTTTTGTGATATTTATATTCTGTCTTGTAATATTGAACACTTACGAAAAACGTCATGTCTGCATTTTCTGGTTGCAGAAAAAGTGCAGAGCTGCCTGTGCTGAAATGTGACTTTCCATGATGGGGCTTTGGCTTGGCTTTAGCAGATAGAGACTTAAACAAGCCTTGGAGGTGACCTGCAGAGGAAAGAAACTGACTTGTGCCCTTTTTAATTTCTTTAGGATAGGTACAAAAGGTTCTTAAGCAAACTGCTGTTTTCCCTCTGTCTTTTCCTTTGGAAATGGGGGTGTCATCAACCTGGAGGACTGGGGTGACTGCAGGTCTTGTATGCTCAAGCCCTTGGAAAGCTACGGAGGCTGGGAAGGGCATAAACTTTTCATCAGTATTGAAAATTGGGGGGTATTTTTTTTTATATTATCAGTTTAATGCTCATACCTGATTAATTCTTGGGGAGAAAAGTGGGTTTAGTGGTGCTGAGTGGGAACCTGTAATGGGCTAATCCTGACCAGGAGAGCTCTCTGAGCCTTAACGTGTATGTAAATGCAGTCTTTCTGATATATTTAAGGTGAAAAAATCAGGAAGGAGGAGCAGGCTTGAGAATTTGCCCCGCGTTTGCCAGTCTTTTATTTCCTGGAGAGAAAATAATTTCTAAATGCCCTTTCATCTGCCTTATAGCTCCCAGCTTGAGAGGTTGCTCCCTCTCTCTCCTCTCCGTGCAGCCGCACACTGAGGCCAGCGCAGGTGATTTACTTGCCAGATCAATATGTTTGATGTTTGCTTGTGCCATGTCTCCATTTTTTTTTTTCCTTCTATCAAATACAGTTCTAGAGACAAAGGAGAGGCCCAGAGCAGTCGTGTTCCCGGGGCGCTGTGTTGCTTGGAGAGCTTTGTGGCCTGTGCTGCCCCGGGGCTCCCCCAGTGCCACCAGTGCTTCGTTGCTGGTGGGGATGGTGGGAGCTTTAAGGCTGTGACAAGGCTAGAAATTATCCATGGGGACTCAAAGCTGTCCTCGGAAAAGCCTTGTGCCTTGTGTTGTACCAGTGAATGTCTCCATCAGATGCCTGTACCCCTGCCTGTACCCTCCGTTGGAGAGGGCAGGGACCTTCCTTCACCGCTGCAACTGCCACCCGTAGCCAGGGGATGTTTGCACCGAGCAAATCCTGCTCGTCAGGAGATCTCATAGCCTGTGAACCTGCACTAATGAACTTCAGTGCTAATAGAATCAATTCCTTCATAGCCTTTCAGATAAGATTAGGGGACTCTCGGCCTTTAAAAGATTTAGAGGGCAAAGACACAATTTTAGAGAATTAGCGTCTGCAGACCTGAATTACTGCCATACCTTATAACATACGTACTAGGAAAACCAGGCCCATGGCCCAGTATCCCTGACTGGAGCAGAGGCATTGGTAAGATGTGCACAGTTCGGGAAAAAGAAATAAAAGTACAGGAGGAGGTGTGGTCTTAAGGATTTGATCTTAAGGATGAGTTAGACTGTGAAGAAATAAGGAACAGTGTAGGTGAAACAGAATATTTGGGGGTTGGAAATCTGGCAGGAGGCTTTGTTTTGAGACTTGCTGGGGAAGGACATCAGCCATCCAGGAGTGGAGCTGATGGAAGTTGAAACCTAGGGTGGAAATCAAACTCGGAGAGTTTAATAGACACGAGGAAGGGGGAGGAATACCCCCGAACTTCTTTGAGAACTAGCATGAGAAATCGTGGGCCCGCCAGCAAGGACTGCTAATAAGGCACTGTAATTCCACCTGATTAGAGAATGGCAAGTGTAACGTGTGTGCTGAAGAAGAAGAAAGGGATCTGGGTAATGACGGGCGTGTTAGCCTGACCTCGGCGGTGCGTAAGGCTTTTGAACAGATTTTAAAGGAAAGAAGAAGCGGAGTCCTGGAGTTGAATGAAAAATGGAATAAAATGCACATGGACTTACCAGCTGTAGACTGCGCAGATTAATGTGTTCCCTCTCTTTGGTGGGACAGCTGATTTCCCAGTCAAGAAAAATGCAACAGGGCTTTATCTACATGAAATTTCAGAAAAGTGCTTCTCGTGGTCAAACATCAGCAGCACCAGTTGGTCAGGTCATCCCAGCTCAGGCAGGAGATTTCAAACTGGAATAGATGAGGGCTGCTGGGGTGCTTGAGGGAGTGCAAGGGGAGGCTAAAATCCTTGGCTGGTTTAGCTCAGCACAAGTGGGAATGGAGAAGAACTGTGGCTGCTACCTACAAGTACATTGGAGGCTGTGGAAGGTGATGGATGAGCTTGGCACGAGTGGATGGGCACGGACTGTCGCTCATAACCCTCACCCTCCAGGTGGGATGGGGGAGAGAATTTGGAAAAAAAAAACCCGTGGCTTGAGATAAAAACAGATTAACAGGACAGCAAAGGGAGAGGAAATAATATTACTGATAAAGGAATATACAAAACCAAGTGATGTGCAGCACAGCAATTGCTCACCACCCGGTGATCTCCCCGTGGCCAGCTCCCCCCCAGCTTATATACTGAGCATGACACCTTATTCTTCTTGTGGAGGCGAAGCTGAGAGAACAGGGACAGTATGAGAAACTGAAAAAGTCCTTGGCTTAATGTAAACATTGCTTAGCAACCACTAAAACATCAGTTATTGACATCCTTCTCAGCACAAATCCAAACACAGCCCCATACCAGCTACTGTGGAAAAAAATTAACTCTATCCCAGCCAAAACCAGCACAGCTGCTGAAACGCCGTCCCAGAAGGAGCAGTGGAGGGAAAAAGCTGGTTTGTTCAGGATGGGTGCGTAGCCAGTACACAGCAGATTGGGAGCAGTGCTGTGGGGAGAAGCTGATGACGGGCAGATCCTCATTAGCTGTGTACGTTGTTTATATATCGGGATTTTCCTTTCCAGGCCTCCCAGGGGCTGCCCGCAGAGGATGCGCGTGAAGACGGGGAACCCATGCAAGTTGCACAGAGGTGAGGAGGGCGATTTCGGAGTGTGGGGCCCATGGGCTCTTCTGCTCTCCCCGCAGCGTTTTGGGGTACAGTCTCCCCAGGGCTCACTGCAGGGCCTTGCTGGAAAGGCTGTCTGCTGTTGCTGCTCTTCGGTATCCCTGGAAATACATGGCTTTGGAGCAGCAGGGAGAGAGGTGGGGCACAAGTGGGGAGATCAGGGACTTTTTACTTGATAAAAGGCCCAAGGCGCATCCTGGTGCAAGGACTCGATCCTTTGCCCCCTGGAGCTGATGTACACGGTGCGGTGAGGCCGTGGGGATGGGCGGGGGGGGCTGAAGGTGAGTTATAGCGGTGTCATCATGTGATGTGCCTGGGAAGGCAGCATGGTGGAGCGTTTACTGGCTTTCTGTGTGTATTTTTATGTTCCTTCCTTACTGCTGAGGGAAGAAGGGAGGAGGAAGCCAGACGGCACTGCCTATCAGCCAAAGATAGAGTGCAGTGCTCCAGAAAAGCCACTTCAGCAGATGACAGGTGTGGGACAAGTCAACATGATTTTCTTCAGATTTAAGCCTGCTCCTCTTTTCCTCTTTTTTTTTTTTTTTTCCCCTTCTCCTTCCTGCGGGATGCAATTCTGCAGCGAAGGCTCTTGGAGAAGAAGGGCAAATGGGAGAGGATTCGAGGAGCAAGTTACAAGAGAGGGCAGATAATGTCATGTTTTTAATTTGTTGGGTTTTATAATTTAAACCTGCTTTGGAGCAAAACTGCAGACCTTCCTCTGATGTAACAGCATTTGGCCTGAGCAGTTGATATCAATATGCAGAGTATGAAAATCCCTCTTGCTTGCACCTTTTTAACAAGCTTAAAGATCGCCTTGGGGAGCAGGAGGAACCCGCC